ATATCTTTTTTTCAAGCTATTCTTGTCCTTTTTTTTTTTTTTTTTTTTTTTTTTTTGATCTCTCCTGAGTCGCCAAATTTTGCTTCTCCCGTCTAGCAATTCGTTTGATGTGCGCACAGAGCCTACATTTCCTTATCATTTGATGAAGTTTGTTTTTGCAAGGCTTGAACGTCTCATATATGCCGAAAACGCTAAGTCGAGAGCATTTCTGTGTAACCCAGAAGAGTATCAATTGCGAATGTACAAACACTGCAAGCCTCCTTTTCCGTCGGTGTGTACTGTGAAGTGAGTAAGAGCTCAGTATATGCCAGTCCAGCTCGCGCTACATGGGCCAATGGCGTAGACGTTGTCGCAGCTCTTGTCCACGCTTCTTTTGCAGATCTCTTCGATGGGACCTGGAAACCGTGCCAAGAAGAAAAGAAGCGAACCCCAATTGAGGCGCAGAGCGAGGTGGTCTCTGCTTAAAGTACCCTTGTTGATAAGTATCACATTTTCAGGGTGAAAATGAAAGAAGTACCCCAGCATCTGTCACAGCCTCCCTTGCCCCTTCCTCTTCCTTGTCCTCGTACAACCACTTATGGCAGGGACCATCTAAAAATCTCCTTGTTGGGTATCTGTGGGGAGTTTGATGTACATACGCACTTCACCGGCCGCCAATTGCCTGTGGGGCCTTTTTCTTCTTTTTGTATTTTTTTTTTCTTTTCAAAAGAAAGAAACAACATGACCAGGACTCCTTTTTTCTCTCATTCTGTCGTGGTTTTACCCCCCCCCCCCATTCCAATGTAACCCCGCTCCCCGGTCGCTCGTGGTTCCAGTACCCTTCGACGCCGATCATTATTGCGCAAGGTTAGAGATATTATTACCAGGTCGCAAGCTGACCATTCAACCACCCAGCTATCCACCCACCACCCGATCCCTAGTGGGGTTGACCCTGGCCCTATCAAGGAGGAATGCACTTGCGTCTGTGACACCTTATTTTCTTTTTTCAACCATTCCCCCAGGAGTCCTCCCACATCCCCCCCGCCCGACCCATCTCGGCTTCGACGAAAGTTCTCCGCCGAGGATAGGCCTTTTAAACACCCGGAGCCGAATCCATCCTCCCGCAGCAAGCACTGTATAGCATGGCACGGCCCCTCCACTTCCGCTCGCATGCCATGCATCATGCTATGTAGAAGGGAAACGTATTCGGCCCCCATCCCATCTCCAGCTCGCTCACGGACATAGCAAGAAAGAGTGAAAAGAAAAGCAAAAATGGGTCGGATTTTACACACACGGATGCAGTGCCGGGTTCACCTAGGCGCTCTTCTCAATAGGACAATCGCCACTGCTCGGCACGAACACATCCTTGACTGGGCTGAACGCCCTTCAGCTACAAGCAAGTAAGAAAAAAGGAATCCCGTGCCCCTGTAGTAGTGTGTGTGTATAGGAGGGGGCAGCATCCGACGGGCGAGGCATTTGGTGTGTTCTTTCTCTCAGGTGCTGAAAACCTCCTATGAACCAGTGAGCCAAATTGCCGTTGAGTGCTCGGAGATCTCATTACTGCCCGAAGCACACAAATGGGCATTCATCTGATTTTTGTCGGTGGCCGCGCGTGTGTGTCTACTGTACTGTATGTGTGTATGTGTGTGTGTATGTGTGTGGTCGTCGTTGATGATAACAAACCAGGGCAAGGGCTTGAACGGGCCCTTGGGATGGAACGGAATGAATCGCTGCCCGCTGTCTCCGCTATGCAGTGACGTGACATTGCATATTGTAGAGGAGGGAGGGGGGGAGGAGTCATGGGCAAGCGCTGCAGGCCTGAATAGTCAGGGGGGAAAAGGGAGGCAGAGTGAGCCATAAACCCACTACACTACCTTTTCACCGCTAGAATGCGGAATGAGACCTTGTAGCTCACCACTGATTGACGTTTGATTGTTACGGTGAGCAGGCCAGCAAGGCCAGTGAGACACGCTGTCCTGGAGAACTGGCTAACTCTTCCCCCCTGGACTCCTCTCTCCATACTTGTGTTTATTTTTAATTCTTATCATGATTTTTGATAGGTGCTTCACTCGACAGTCCACCATCCCTAGGAGTGTGTCCCTCAGGCAGCACAGCATTTCCAAAGGAAAACGCCCTCCTTCTCTCCCAAGTTGCGACGGCAGCAAGATCAGCATTTTTTGGGCATCAAGACAGCCCTCGTGGTTGCTTGAAACCCCTATACCCCGGACAAAGATCGTCTTGAGGAAACACCAGGGACAGAAGTGGCAAAATCTGGGCTTCAATCTCTGTATGCATGTCTTGGGAGAGAGTACACGCGGTTTCCGCTTGGACTTATGACGCCGCCGAGAACAAAAACACCTCGTCGAAGCCCGTCGAGAGCGATCCTGAGGCAGAGAAGGAGATCCAGGAGGAATCTTGACTCATTATTCGAGAGTTCAGGTGGTGTCAAAAGCCCCTGCCCATGAACAAGTTCTGTAAGCTCTCCTGGAAGATCTCAATGCCCAAGTCTCAAAAACCATGCTCTCTCTCAGCCCTCACTGTTGGAGCAGCATTCTACAGTACCAAGTGTGTGGCTCTTCGTTGCTCTGCCAAGACAGAGGCTGTAACTGAAGATGACGAAGACATCAGCTCGTATTCGTTGTCGAAAGAACCAAACACAATCAAGTACCTGAACGCTAGGCGCCCTGTATTTCCCCTTGTTTGTCCAAGCACTCAGCTCAGCATTTCTCTCTTCAGAACACCAGCTGGAACTCGAGCCCAACTCGACGATGAGTTAAAGAAGGTGACCGGGGGGGGTGGTTGGTGGAGGTTGAGAGAATTCCAAATCATTCTGTCGGCCGAGAACATTACCACTCACGGAGGCCTGAGTTGACCGGCCGAAGAAAAGAAAAAAAAAAAAAAAAAGAAGGGGGAAAATAAAAGACCCCAGACCAGGGGAGACCCTCGTGGGCAACAAAAGTAGACTGAAGGGGCTAGAACCTTCAAACAAGCTACAGCCGCGTGCATGCGACAGTAAATCTAAATTACACTGTCTGTGTGACTGGCAGGTTAGACATCTTCGTCATTTCCGGGAAATTTCGCCCTGTGAGGTTTTGTTGTTCAGTTTCAACGAGGGTTGTTACGGACAGAGGGCGAACAAGCAGCCTCCCCCCCTTCCCAACGGTCTTCTAAAGAGAGGGCGCCGCAGGACGAAAAGTCCCGACTGAATTTCGTCCTCGAGATCGGATTGCATCTTTTGGTCTGGGCGTTCCCTCCAAAAAATCTTGGCAGGCTGAATTTGATGGACGTTGCATCTTCACGGGAGGGGGGGGGGGGGAAGAAAAAGAGAGAGGTTTTGAAGGAAAATGTTACGTGCCAAGAAGTCGTACCCTCCTGAAAGATGATTCGTTTGCCGAGATCAGGGTTGCAGTCAGGATGAGAAAGATTATCAGCGCCTCCGCCCTGCCAGCCCTACCAGAACACGGCAACACAAAGAGAGAGACAGAGAAGAGAGAGACATCAAGTCAGCTCAAACGGGTGTGTTGTCCTGAGGGCACGGACAGAGAGGGGGGGAGAGAGCGCAACCTTGTTCTTGGACAATGAGATTCCATGCGCAGGGCGAAAAAAAAGGTTTCCAATAGATGACGTGCGCTGGCCGATATGCCCCAGCGCCAAACCGTCCAGAACGTTCATCATCTTGTACCATACCATCAAGAGGCTCACCGGGGATCCAGATCACTGCAATGCCGTTGAGCCGTTGGGGCGTGGTGGAACCTTTCCCACGGACCGTGAAGATGGAGCACCAAAACACTGACGATGAAGCTAAAATCTACTGTAGTACGTTCAGATTCATGCAGTCGCAAAATGCCAAGACTAAGCCATATTGCAGCAGCGAGGCGAACGGGGGTGAGAAGATTGAGGTGAGGCGAGTTCACTACGAGTACGAGATGGAACCAGGGGCCAGACGTTGTTGTGTGATGAGGTGGTAGCATGTCACAGAACTCCCTCCTTTACCCTAGGGCCATGACGGGTAGGGGTACAAACAGAGTGAGGGAAAAAAGGGTGGCGATGAGATTGGTATCCCAGGACTTTGACCGGTGTACGTACTCTGTACTCTACAGGGCTGGTGAGGGCTGGTGTCGTAACGCCTCCACATGTTCTCATAGGATAGAATCAGTGGAGCTGGTGCCACGATGCTACGCTCTAGTATGCTGCTGAGAGCGCGAGAGCGCGCGCCTACTACTTTTAGCAAAGACCCCACAATGTTCGTGCCTGATCTGCAGCCATGCGGATGATCTGCCGCCAGGAAAAGAGGCCCTGTGAGGCTGCACGTGTGCCTTGCGAAATATCCCGGGGCTCCCGTCATAGCATCATGCCAACGCTTTGTTCTGACAACCGACTGGAACACGTACCGCAAAGGTATCACAACATCCTCCATGGTCGAGGACGAGAATCGTAGTGTACATACCGGTCCATACCGAAAAGCCCGCCCTCGTAAGCATATCCTGTGTTAAGCTCAAACGTTCTTGAGGGCACCTGGTGCTAATCTCCCACCGTCCTTGACCGCAAGAGAGGCAGTGCTACGCGATTTCAGAGAATGTCTCAAACAGTGCTAGATGTTGACGCTCGGGGCACTATTTGGGCTCTCACAACAGGCTTTGAGTTCATACTCGTCCCCTCACAAACAACCTCGAGTATATGCCCGCGATGATTCATCGGAAGTTGACCACGATTACCCACTAAAGAGGCTTGTTGGGGAAAAAAATAGAGACTTGTGGATGCCATTGATCCAGACCGTGCCAGGCCGCCAATTGGGCCAATTGGCCAGTACAACCTGAGAGTCTGAGGGTCTCCCTCCCGTACTCGGGGAGCCGTCCAGGAAATGAAGGGCGCCGGGAGCCAGCGAAAGTGTACCCCACGTATCTTTGAATATCACAGCGGTGACTGGAACCAGAGAGGCGAGATTGGGCCAATCTCTGTAGGCGACCATTCACCTGTCGACTTTACTACGACATCTTGATCTGTTCGGCCGGGCCGGACTGTCAAGCTTCTTCAGCAAACCAGGGCTGTCGATCGTTGCCGTGATATGGCTGGGCGGGAAGCTCGACGGGAACGGGAACGGCACCGCGGAACATTTCTAGCTTTTCTGCCTCCTGAGCAGTTCCACTGGAAGACGAAGAAGTTGTTTCCTGCGTGGGGACCAAGACACCGCATTCCCAATTGCGAGCATTCAATTTAGGCTCTCCCGTGCCTCGATCTTTGACCAGGCGGCCCCTGTCCTGGGATTAATTCCCTTTCTTTCTCCGATGTGGATGTGGGGGTACTCACCAGGCGCTCTCGGATAGGTTGTGGCTCCCAACATATGCCCAGCCTTGGGCTGCGCCACGAACGAGACTTGCTGCAGGCCTCTGGACGTAGATGACTTTGGAGTGCATCAAGATACCTGAGCGGACATTCTTGCAATCCCGAAGAACTGCACGCGGGAATGAAGCTGCGTTCCACCACCTGGACTGAAAACGAATCGTGCCAGCAGACTACGCCGTACGTTAGTTTAGCAGGCACGGTGAGGAGGTGAGGAGACCACAGTGTGCGGACTGACCTGACGTCCGCCTCGACATCGATCTACGGTCTCGCGACTGGGGAAGTAGACTCGTATCTTTGTTAAGTCCAACAAGTCAGCACGGGAGGCGGCAGCGGCCGTGCCCTTGGCCTTGCCCTTAGCCGCTCTTCCAGCTCTGCTGGTGTACTCTTTCAAGCCCGTATCGCCTTGGCAGGCGTTGTACAGAGCCGCCAACAGATCGCGGTTGACAGCACCAATAGATGAACATATGTAATCCAGTTCAATAGCACCTGCACTCTCAAGGCGAAGAGCCTTCACAGTGCGACCTAGGCCGCAGTAGCCCGTCCTTTGCCAAAGATCAGGTTGAGGATGAGAGCCGGCTATCGTGTGGACGAATCCGTATCGTGCCGTCTCGGAGAAATCGTAGTTTCGCAGGCTCTCTAGCATTTTGTCATCCACACCCTTGGCGCCAAGGAAGAAGCACATCTCCTGACCAAAGTGAGTCAAAGTGTGCTTCTTCCGCTCAACAGGGTCCTCGATCCGAGGCAAATCGATCAGGAAAACCATCTGCAGGACAAGACGTCAGAAACATGTTGACGGCTCAAGAGACTTCAATATGGCACGTTACGTTTTCCATCGACCCCGTTTCTCCCCAGTCATAAGGAACAAGATTCCCGGTAGGGACCACGATGCGTAGCGACTTCGGGTATTTCAGAAGCTGGAGCTTGGAATGCATACAGCCAGCAGAAGCAATACCATCCATCGGAGGAAAGACGAACCGAATCGTCTCTGGGGGCGTGTTTTGGCGCATCTCGTTTTTCTTGGAACAGGTCAGCGACAATCTGGTCAGGTGCGACCTGCTGGGTGCTCAGGGAATGTGGTCGATAGCCCGGGAAAGCATCGTGTTATGGGGCGTGTGTGAGGAACCAACCTGTTCTTCATCCTTCGCGTAGGCTATCAAGAGCACCTTGGTCTGCCTCAGGTTCAGCTTGCTCATGAGCCAGTCCTCATCCCACTGGAAAGAGCTGAGGACAGCAAGTTGCAAGTCGTCCTTCTGGAAGACCTCCTCGATCTTGATGTCGCCCTCTCGCGGAACACCACGCGCCCAGGTCTTGAGTACTGCTCCCTTGGGGTATTTGAGACCCGCAGATGCGTCCTGGCTGCTTGATTCTGGTTTTGGATTCAAGTCTAGACCAGTCCGCTGCACGCCACGCTGAGCATGGTTCTTCTCCAATTCTGACACGCGCCGAGTCGCCCTTTCACGTTCAATCTCTCCATCCGTGTTGGATCTGTCGGGCAGGGCATCATCAGCCTTCCTTTTCCTCAGTCTTGCCAGGCGTTCTTCTTCCATCTTCTTGCGGTCTAGGCCGAGCGCAGCCATCGAGCTTGTGGCAGGCTGCTGCAACGCTGATGTATTGTCATCCGTCGGAGCAGATGTCGTCACTTGAGTCTGGCTATTGCCCAGGCCATTCGTGCGGGAAGGGCTAGCGGGCTCATCATCAGACACGTCCTGACCGAGGCTCATCGCAATGGCTCGTCGAAGAGCAGCATCCTCGTCTTCGACGCCATTGACCTCGGAGGCCAGATTGCTCGTCATTGTTTACCGTGACCTTGTATAGTCAGTGCAGACCATGCGCTGCGGGAGGAGCAATGAGTCGCCAGCTTCTCAAGAATATGTGGGTTGTAATGCAAGATGAGTCGACGTCCAAATTTTAGCTCGAGTGAACGTTGAACAGTACTTGCTTTTTCTGGAGTTTCAGGCACCACTTACACGCTGGCAACGCGGGGACAACGCGATCTTGCAGCTACCCCAGCACGCCTTATTTAGCACACCTAGCTGCAGTTAGTCCACTTTTTCCCGGTCTGTCGCACAGCAAGGGTCCAGCGGCACAAGTTTTGAAGTACCTTGTACACAGACACTCGCAACTCGCAGACATGGCAGCACAAAGCTGTTGACCACGGCGTTGAGAGGTGAAGCTTGCTACGTGTTGGGTGTGTTTTTCGTCTCTTTCATGACCCGTTTGTATTTTCTTATTCGACCGCGTGGCCGGTATCTTTGTTGACCTGACGGATACTGTCACAGGTACTATAGAACACCAGGGTAGCCGGTGCCTCCAGTGGATGAACGCCCTGTACCAAGCATACGTCACTACTGGAAACCACAAATAACTTCGCTCCTGGAAAGCGAAGAGGTGGACGCATCAGGTCCAGCCAGCAACACAACGTGGTTATTTATAGGAAATTCTGATTCGGCCCCTCTGTGAAAGATTGCTTAATCCTTTTCTCTGAAGGGAGGAAAATAAGTACGAAGAGGTTTATTGTAGGGAAACTTCTCAGACATCGCCAATGATCTTTGGCCTGTGTTTCAGTGTCAGATTCATCGCCCTCCTTGCCTTCAACTCCACGTGCCTTTTGATTTGCTTTTCCATTCTCTTCGGGCCTTCTCTTTCGATATTGCTCCTTACTGACGTCTCTATTCAGCTCAATCCTGACCGGGTATACATACATCCAGTGGTTCACTCTGGTTTTGATCAACACAAACCCCTTGAATTGGCACAAGGATGATTTGGCTTCACTCGCGCCACCATGGTCAGCGAGGACAACAGATACACCTCAGGTGCACACGCCAGACCAGGTCCACTAGTAGGAGACACAAGACCCATCTCGGTATCTTCATGAGCTCTACATTTGTCCTGCATGACAGAATACTCCCTAATTGTTAATCATGGATTCCCAGTGCGGCTGGCTGGGTAGCGCTAAAGTCAATGACGTCCTTGAGCCCGAGCAGTGGACGAAGAACAGTTTGGCTTCCTATATAGGAACAAAAAATCAATGTCACTATGAGAACTCACTTGTTAAGGTTCCCTCTTGCGTTGATCTCTATCAAGAGGCTCTCTCATTTCCTCCCCCAAAATAGCTTTCTCTCTTTTCACCTTACAACCCCTTCCACTTGGACAGGCTCCGAATCACCAGAGCGCAGCATACGGGCACGAACAATATGGCTTCCGCAAAGGACGGCCAGAAGAAACATGTGGTGATAGTCGGTGCCGGAGGGGCAGGCATGTCTTGCGCCGCCACCTTGTCTCAGCATCCAGACAAATTCAAAGTGACGGTCATCGAGAAGGGTTCTTGCTGTGGCGGGCAGGCCATGTCCATCCCTCTAGACGAGAAGAAGTTTGGAGCGAGCTGGATGAATAATGGCGTGCAAGGTGGCTCTCCAGTACGTATGCTTGTGAACCTCTCCTTGGTGAAAAGAAAAGTAGAGAAGATGTACAAGAACTTACACAGCTTGCACACTCTCAACAGATCTTCAAGCACACCTTCAACTTCTTCCATAAGTATGACCACGATCCGGAGGAGGTGCAGCTGCAGGTCTCGTTCGGCAAAGGCAAGTCAGGCTTCTGGACCAACGTGTTCCCGTCGCAGCTCGTCGAGAAGTACGCCTCGGACATCAAAAAGTTTGGCATCTTCCTCAAACTCATCAAGTACACGATGCCCATCCTGGGCCTCGTCCCCATCCGTATCATGTTGCGGCTCATGTTCTTCTCCAAGGACTTTGGAGACAAAATGGTGTACCCCCTCATCGCCCTGTTCCTGGGCACGGGCAATCAGACGGCCAACGTGCCCTCCGCCATCGTCGAGAGGCTTTTTGACGATCCAAACATGAAGCTGTGGGACTACGACTCCGAGACCCTCCTACCGAATCTGCCTAAAATGGTCACCTTCGATAAGCTCGCTGCCTTCTACGAGGACTGGCGCAAGGATCTCGTCTCCAACGGTGTCGACATCCGCCTCAACACAGAAGTCACACACATCGTGGGCCGGACGTCCAAGGGCGTTACGCTCCGCACTGCTCCCGTGAAAGGGCAGGAGACTTCCTCCAGCAAGAACAACAACAACGACAACAACGACAACAACGACAACAACGACAACAACGACAACAACAACAACAACAACAACAACAGCACCGACTCGCAGCGCACGTACACCAACAGCTCAGGCGCTGGAGGCGACAGCGGCGAGCAGCAGGAACACTTCGACGACATGGTCATGTGCACACTGGCCGACGACGCGCTCCGCATACTTGGCAAAAAGGCCACCTTTCGCGAGCGCTTCGTGCTGGGAGGAGCCAAGTTCTACGACGACATCACGGTCACGCATTGGGACAGCGGCTACTTCAACAAGCACTACGAGACGTCCTTCTCGGCGGACCTCTGCGCGCAGCCCAAGACGCCCGCGCAGGAGGACCAGGTCGCCTTCGCCAAGGGAGAAGACGCCTCCCGGCCCGGCGGGTTCAGGCCCATGTACTATACCAAGTCATACCAGCAGGACCCCAAGAAGATCGAGATGAGCTTCGACTGCAGCAACTACCAGCACCAGCTGCTCAAGGCCAACGGCCCCAGGGACGATGCCGGGTATCCGCACGTGTACCAGACCATCTTCCTGGATAAGCGGAACAGGGACCTGTGGACGTGGCCCGAGATTGACAAGGACAAGATCATCGCCGAGAACTGGTGGCACCAGCTGGGCCATCGGTGGTCGCACTACCTGCGCGTTGTGCCGATGATGATGTTCATCAATGGGAAGAACAAGACGTGGTTTGCCGGAAGCTGGACACTGGTGGTAAGTTACTCGAGAAAACAACAACTCTTCTTTTTTTCCTTCTTCGTCTTCTTCTTCCTCCTTCTCCTCCTCCTCTTCTCCTTCCCTTTCCCACCAAAAGGGAAGAAAGAAGAAAGAATAAAAGGGATGAAATGGGGGGGGGGGGAGAGAAAGAAGAAGTTGGTGCTTTAAATCCAGAATGCTGATCGTGACGAATTGTAGAACATGCATGAGTTGGCTTGTGTGAGCGGCATCGCCGCTGCGTATCGGTTGGGCGCCGACTACCACAAGTTCGATGACTTTGCCGAGGACTTTTTCTCAAAATATTTAGCATTGTCCCATGGTGTCTTTTACTCAAGAGAAGAGAAAAGAAGGAAATCGAAGAAGCAGTGAAATAAATAAGAAGGCGAATTCTGCCACGTGCAGCTACAAAAGTTGGCTTGGTCTGGGGGCGTAATCGTTCTCAGCAAGAGTTTTCTGATCTCTACTCTCTAGAGACCAGAGTCCGAGCAGAACCTGTTGGTCATCAACGTTGGGACATACATATTCTCTCAAGACTGGTCATAGATGAAGGTCAATCAAGTGGATTAGACAAATCAGAGGCTAAGGATCGTGTCTAAAGTAACTGGTCGCAGGCCACCTATATCCCTCCAAAATTGTGTTTTTTCTTTTTTCTTCCGTTGTTTTTGTCTTGTTGAAAATGTGAGTCCTCTCCACAAAGCAAAGTGTCTTCTTGACGTCCAAAAGGTGCACCTCCTGGTGTTGTCAGGTCCACCACTTCCTTGTTATCTCCTAGCCGCCACCAATCCACAGCTCCCTTAAAAAAATTAGAAAAAAAAATGTAACGCCAGTTATCGTATGGGTATTCCCAGAACCAATCGAAAGGCCCCTCAAATCCAGCAACTCATGCCAGATGAATCGCCACAAGATGCCTTTTCGCTGTACATTCGCCAAAGAAGGACGAAAATCACTGAAGACTCCTGCTTCCGACCCGACACAGAGGGGTAACATCGATGGGAGCCGAGTACGCCGTTACCGTATAAGACCCGCCCAATCCATAAGGTCTTGTATGAGAATATCACAGGTTGTAAAATGTCCCCAAAGCAGTATCCAGCCCAAATGCACCAGTCGGACCACCGACTCCATCGTCGCAGCGCAATGAAAAAGCTTTCAGTAGCTCCTTGAGAACCAAAACAAAACCTCGTCTATCTATGCAACTCTGAGTGACAAGTGCGGAGGGAGAGACGCATAATAAGCGCGTGAATGATTGATGATAATGGAGAACGTCGAGGTGCGTATATTGTGGCCGGCAAAAAGGGATTACGCATGTCCCGAAAACGAATTGGTGTGGTGCTGAGGACTGTGGTTGCCATCCTGGCTCATTGGCACTGGGAAGTTGAGGCCCAGAGCTCTGCGAAGCGCATCTTCAGCCATGGTCTTCCGGTGATCCACACTGCCAGAGCTCAAATCACCACCACGCATCTGCGGGTAGCCTGGAGAGCCACCATCCGGTGAGGTCATCGCTAAGGTTGTTGCGGGACCTTGCATAGGCCCGGGCCGATATCCTTGAGGCAGGCCTTGTTGATATGGCCCCTGATGATGGTGGTGGAGCTGAGGCGCCCTCGGAGATGGTGTGCCAATTCCCAAGAGTCTCTTCACTTCGTCACTCTTGTCCAGCCGGGGCGGCGTGGCGGGAGGCTGGTTGTATTGAGCCAAGTGGCTCTGCACTGGCTGCGAAGGTGACTGGCGTGCACGATACTCAGCAGGCCCAGCAGCTCGAAGACGCTCGTGGGCGGGCAAGACGAAGTGTTCGGGTCGCGGAGCAGTTCCCAGAGCAGCACCAGTGCTGTCGGAGGCACCACGGTGCGGCATGGAGCGAATGGGAAGCTTGAGGGGGATGGGATCGTCCTGAATCTCGGGGTTTGCGGGGTACCGTGAGCCTGGCGGAGCGGTGAACGGGCCATCGACGCCCATGGTGGCAGCGGCCGACGTCGCTCTGCGGAGCTTCTCCTGGTCTGCGCGGTGGGCATCGAAGAGGAAATCCAGAGGCGAGGCGTGCTGCTGATCCTTGGCGAGGTTCGGAGGCAGCGGAGGGCTGGGCGATTCAGCGTCGGACGAGGGAGGCGAAGGTTCTTTGCGCAGCTGGGCAGCGGCTGACTCGGAGCGCACTTTCATGAACGCGTCGTCGCTAGAGGTGACACAGGATTGAGATCGGGCGAACTTGGAAAATGAGGGCCTGGGGAGACTGCCTGGCGCGGGAGAGTGGAAGGAGCTTGAGCTGGCGAAGGCTGTAGAGGACATAATGACAGAGGCAGACGGGGGAGGTGTGCGCTGGCTGGACGGAGGGGCGGGTGACGTCGACACATTGTTCGGGCGAGATTTCCTATTATTGCCCTTCTTGGACGTGGACTTCGAGTTGGCTGGCTGCTGTGTGCCAGGGCCAGGGGCAGGGCTGCCGTTGTTCGACTTCATAGGAGTAGTAGGGAAGCTGGCCGGGGTGGGCATCTCGAAGAGAGCGTCACCCTCGGATGCGTAGTTCTTGCGACCTCGGTTCGGCCTTGCCCCGCCACGACCGCGTCGAGCGGGTGTTTGTCTGCTAGAGCTGGTTTGTTCCATAGTGAAGAGGGATTTCTGGTTTGATAGTCGATAGACATGGGATCGGGTGTCGGGCACCGTCTGCGAGAGAAATAGAGTAAATAATTTAGTACCAGGACCTAGAAAGAAAGACACGGCACGGGAGCAGGCGCGGGTATGGTACCTTGATATAGGAGGAGGCGTCTGCCTATGCTGTGGCCGCAGGCAGACCAGGTGGCCGATGTACAACTGACGTTGGATGATGGGTGGGGCGTGATGGCGAGCGCGACTGCGACCTTGCGGTGAGGACGATATTGATGTTGGAGTTGAAAATGCTGAATGTGCTGCAGGGCGCAATTGACCTCGATCTCCACATAGTTCTAGCTCGAGAAACAGTACTGCGAACGAGTGGTCTGACCTTCCCAGCGTCCGGATGAGCCAGACAAAAATGGCAGGTCGAGGCAGGGGCAGAGTCGAGAGATGACGAGATAGATCTTGTTGAGGTGGCGGGTGTGTTGGGACGAGTTTCAGAGAGCGGAGGCAAATCCAAGTGTGATTGAGGACTGTGGGCTTTATTTGATTTTCCAATAATGCCGTTATGCTCTTTCCAGATCTTGGGCTGCCTTTGAGGAGTCGCAGAAAGCATAAGGCTGTGTGGAAGGGCGAGGAGGGGGTAGGTGACCTGTTTGAAGGAGGCTGAGCTTGCCAATGGGAGCGGAGAGCGTCACAGCAGCACGCTGGGTTCCGAGTTGGAATGTCGGTCACCCAGGCAGTGTTGGCAGGGCCGTTGCAGGGGCTGCTAGGGACAACCCGCCTGACTAAGGCTTGCTGGAAAAAGGTTAGTGGATGTTGTGTTCCTCAAGGTCCTCAACCACAAGAGCAATACTTGGCTGCACTTGAAGTGTAGAAACTGGTAAAATGTTGTTTTTAAAAGAGAGCTGAAAGTTGGTTCTCCCTCCTTGCTCTTCGGTACTCCAAATAGACCTCCTCTTGTGGTGTATGGGTCGGTCAGGCTGAAAAGCTGAAAACAGTGATCGCCCAGAAATGTACTATGTAGCTACCTGACCAGGTCATTATTTGTGGTACACCAACGGCAAGCCACAGATCCCTGCTTCTGCCGGCCGGGAAGGCGGGGTGTTGGTACCCAGTAGCTGTCTTACCAGTGCAGCACTCCAAGCCCACCCCCCTCCCATGCAACACAACTGTCGACCGGACCGTACCCCCAAAATTAATACTCCATCATTCCTGTTTCTTTGAAAGACAAAGCAAGCAAGAGACCTGGGCTCCGTTTCCTGTGCTTCTGCTCTGCTTCTTTCACCAAGGGAGGAGAGACTGGACGTCCAACAAGTGAGTTCCCTTCCAAGGCCTACAGCCATCAGTGCCAGTGCTACCCTTCCCTCACTTGATCTCGCCAAGCTCTCGATCATCTTTCTGATCTGTTACCAGGCCTAGACAAATCTCCGACCGAGTGCGAGTCGATCACCGTAGCCCCTCATCGTTTGAGTCCACTTCGAAATACCGTCGGCACCACAGCCTAACGACCTCCATCTCACGCGACCGTCATGGCTGACGTCGACATGACTGATGCCCCCCCAGTGGCCAAGAAGAAGGGCAGTGATGGCGAGGGCAAGAAGCGTTTCGAGGTCAAAAAGGTGAGCAGGCTGTACACACGTACACACGCTACGGCTATTACATGGCGAGGAGCGGGGTTACTGACGCCCGCATCATAGTGGAATGCGGTCGCGCTCTGGGCATGGGACATCGTCGTCGACAACTGTGCCATCTGCCGCAACCACATCATGGATCTCTGTATGCTCCACTCTTCCAACTGTCATGCCATATGTGTTGGTCATCGCTGATAAACTCGTGCCTGCAGGCATCGAGTGCCAGGCAAACCAGGCTTCCGCTACTAGCGAAGAGTGTACTGTCGCTTGGGGCATCTGCAACGTAAGTAATGGCTCTCTTGGCGTCACTTTCGCAACTCAGCGCTAACAGTATTTACCACCATACAGCACGCCTTCCATTTCCATTGCATCTCTCGCTGGTTGAAAACCCGTCAAGTGTGCCCTCTTGACAACAGGGACTGGGAATTCCAAAAGTATGGCCGGTAAACGCTGGGATCTCGGGTGGTCAGACAATAGTTCCAACAGATTCTCGCTGGCTGCGCAGGGAAAGCGTGTATGCGGGACAGTTTCACAGGGCTCTCGGATGCACAGGAGTTGATGCATCAGAATTGATTTCGCCATGGACTTTCGGTCCGGTGAGGCTGGCGTTGCAAGCACGGCCTGCATGCAATAGGAACCCATCTTAGAGCCCAATTTTATTATGAGGAACAGTTTCGCCATGTGTCCGTACTCCAGCTTCGAAATCTCCCCCGCGGCCCATCGTGTCCATCTTGCCCGTTCATTGTATTGTCACTTTCTCGTCTATAACCAGATTCTGCGGCACAGAGAAGGCAGTCCCACCGCTGACCGGAAGCCATTTGACGGGATGCTTCTTGTAGAAGGGCCAGGGCGGGACGACGACGAGGAATGTGAGGCCGGTGCCTCCGAGGGCGATAAAGACGGCGAGTTTGATATCTTGCAGAAAGTAGCCGACGAGGAAGGAGATAGCCTGTGGGAGAGGAGGTGATGAGCCAGCTTATCTCTATCCAGACAACCACGAGGTTTGCTCTCCCGACTTACACCAATAACACTGAGAAGAACGGTAGACAGAGTCTCCACCAGCTTCTGTCCCTCAAAGTCCTGCGCCACGTCTTGTCAGTCTTTTACGCCGGATATACTAAATGTGTATTTCATGCATCATACAATCTGCCCCTCGGCAACATCGCGAACCTGGTCCAGGAGCTCCTCGGCCATGGTGGTGAAAATGTAACACTCGACTCGTTTACTAGCAGGAAGAACGTTGCCTTAATAGAAGAGCATGAAGAAGTTGCTGTGTTGTTGTGATCGTAATGACGCTGTAGAGACAGTTGGCGATGTCTAAAAGTGGAAGCACGGAAGTTCGACGTGTCTTCGAGGCCGCTGTGGAGAGCTCCATATCCCGAAATTCTATCCCTGTCCCTGCGGCTGAGTGGAACCGAAACAGGTCCTCCACACATCAGCAGGGGCTTTTAGTGCATCATCTCACATGAACCGCTGGTCTGAAGACTACCATAGTATGACCATATTCAGAAAAGGAGAACAAAGATTACTGTACTGCACCCCTAGATGTTGAAACAAGATAAAAATTCGACTAAATGCCTGAACTCTTGTCTATCGACCTCTGTGGGTAATAATTCGAAAGAAGATCAGTAAATATCACATGTTAAACATTTAGCCTGTCTGCAATTGTGCTAGAAAAGGTTGCTGATTCTGCTCACTGGAGTGGCCTGACAATAGGAAGTCCCCCTAAGCTGGCTAGTGGCGGACTGCACTTTGGGCTGGAATGCCGAGACGAGTTTTTAGACTTTTTGGTGGGGCGCCAGACTATGAAGGTGGCCAAGCCCATCAATCCAACTCCACACCAATATACCTCGACACGGACACTGGCCAAGCTTTTTTTTTTTTTTTCCTTTCCCCCTTCAACCTCCGCCTTCACCTCAATCCTACACCAGCCTCCGAACAACAAAGTACAGATAGACACCTCAACTTCTACTGTCTTGGTGCTGCCTCAGTTCTCATCAGCTCTACATACTCGATATATCGACCTCGTCCCGCATCCACTCTCTGGTGCATCCTTGTTGTGTCTAGGACTACGACGTCATCCTTATCAGCACACTAGGAGGATCCAGTCCAGCAGCGTCCTGCCCACGAGGATTCAGTCTGCACCACTCAAATTACTCATATCGACTTTGTCATCCTGATCAGACATAATCATCCAAAGTACTTCTGCAGCCAATAATCCTCAACATCCACTGCGCGCACAAGGCATTTTGACCTGCGCGCCAGCCTTCCCTCACCACAAGCCAATCCAACCACGATTCCTACCTGCGGCCTCGCAGAGTCTTTCAAGTTGGCTGAACTCGCCTCCTCCCGTTCTTCTTTCATCCGTTCACTCCACAGCCCTGCTTTCTGGGCTTTCATTGGAGTGAACAAGAAGCCCCCATAATTTGGGCTCAAAATACGACACAACCTATCCTGAACCCTCCAACTTAGCGCATACTGGCTGCTACATCCTCCAGCCACGACCAGCCCCTGGCCTCAGAAGCTGCTATCACAGCTTCAGATCTGGAGCCAACCAGCTGAACGTTTCTTGTTGCGGGCGGCAGACTGTCCGCTTCTGCCGTCCGCTTAGGTCCACCATACATTCGACCTTCGAACGAGGATGGGAATTCTCCCCTGAATACCGGTTTCTGGTCTGCCAAGGGCCAGACCTTGTAACAATAGGAAGAGGCTACCAAAGAGGTTAAAGAGGCTCACGTCCAACCAATTAGAAGAAGGGAAAAAACAATCCGAGCAACGTTGAGCATCGACGGCTGGCAAAATGTCGGATCACGAAGAGACTACAATTTCGTCGGGCTACTCGACACCCGTCCCGGAACTGGACGACCACAGGCCTCCCCCGCCTCAGTTGGGTGATCGAGCCCGCCGTGGCACTTTTGACTCTCAGATGGGCGAACGAATCCGTCATAATTCGGATGCCTCGCGAGGTGGCCAGCGTCACTCCAGCATTCGCATTCGTGACTTCGAGGAGGCCATCATCGACGATGATGCTGGAGATGTCTCGCCGGTCGCTCGCCGTCAGCGACGCGGAACGGTTGACACGACGGCTGGATCTCGCGACAGCTCACCGTCTCCGCCTAATTCGGTCAAGGCGTTTGCCATGGCACGTCGGATGCCTGCGCTATCCTTCTCAGCAGACGCTCGCCCCGACAATGTCGATCTCCAGCGCACCTTGTCGGTGACCAGTCACCACAGCCACCGCAGCAAGTCTCACACGATGCGAGAGAGCGACGCTGGAAGTATCAAATCCAGCCGGTCTGTTGCAGAGGACGATGTTTGCTTCCCACAGGAGACGCGCGGCGGTGCGGCCGGATACATCGACTATGAGGACTTGGAAGACCTCATCCGGTTGCAGAGGGAGCGTGAGGAACAAGAGCGCAGACGGTCTCTGGATGCAAAGGACTCCCCAAAGTTGCAGAAGCAGGCCACCAATGCCAGCCGCGTTCAAATGGCAACCGCCGATGGTGATATCATGATCATGCCCTCTGGGTCCTCCATCCAGGATGAGAAGGCCGAGCACAAGCCTGCTCCCGTCAAATCCGAGATGGTCAATGCCCAGCGATTCCAGTTCTTCTCGACCAATCTGGAACAGACTTGCTATGCCAAGGAACTCGGCGGCCTCATCTTTCCGGGAGAGGACATTCGCACCTTGTTCACGCCTCCAGACGACGACGCCGACCACGTCTGGTGGCTGAATGTCAACTGCCCGCTCGAAGAAGAAGTGCGAGGGATCTGCAAGGCTTTTGGGGTCCACCCCCTCACCATCGAGGACATCATCACCCAAGAAGCGCGCGAGAAGATTGAGCTCTTCAGATCATATTACTTTGCCATCTTCCGATCGTACACCGCTATCCTGGATGAGGATGGCCAGCGCGAGTTCGAGCCTTTCAACATGTTTGTCATCGTGTTCCGGCATGGCATGGTCACCTTCAGTCACAATCTCAACCCAATCGCGTCCATGGTTCGGGATAGAATCTCTTCGCTCAAGGATTATGTTGACCTCAGTTCAGACTGGATCTGTTATGCCATTATGTGAGTTGTTCAAATCTGATCTGTGTCAGGCTTTCAAACCTTGCTAATACTGCGACTCAGTGACAATATCATCGATAACTTTGGTCCGGCCATCAACGAGTGCCAGAACGCTGCAGAGGCCCTAGATGATGATGTCTACCGCGCGCGACCCGATGACGAGGAGCACTATCCGTTTCTGCCCAAGCTCGGCCACATCCGCAAGAACATTATGGGATTGATGCGACTCCTGGGCGGAAAGGCTGACGTCCTGAAGGGCTTTACCAAGCGCTGCAACGAGAATTATCAGGTTACACCACGCATGGAGGTTGGCCTCTACCTCGGCGACATCCAGGATCACGTTGTCACCATGATGAACACTTTGGGTCATCTGGAGCGGATGCTTTCACGTGCCCACAGCAACTACCTGGCTCAACTATCTATCGACAGCATCACACAAGGCACACGAGCCAACAAAGTCCTCAGCAAGATCACCTTCCTCGCTTCCATCATTGTGCCATTGAACGTTATCACTGGTCTCTTTGGCATGAATGTCACTGTCCCATTTGATGATTCTGGCTCACTGGTGCCCTTCTTCAGCATCGTGGGCGTCCTGGTTGGCTTCTCGGCCATTTGCATCATCCTAGCACGGAGGTTCAGATATATCTAGCTTGGAGGGAATGATGTGTGACAGATGGGTTTTGTTCTTTACTTTTGTTTGGCTTTCTTGATGGCAATACAAGGTGGATGGGCTATTCTGGCCTGATGAGTACTGGTGTCTGTGACCTGGTCGTTTTGACTTGGACAATATGTGCACGGAGAGAGATGTAACTTCTTTTCTTCCAATTTTGGATGGTGTTTAAACTCCTTCAGCGAGCAATCGTCTAGAGTAGACTAGATATTAGAGAGGTGCAGTGGTTAGATTAGAGCCTACTAATGGATGACAAGCTCTTACCGAAGATTGTTGGTTTCAAGAGTCTGAATGTCTTCTGATATCATTCATGCATGCTGTAATATTTCACCTCCCCAATATTAATAGTGAGAGTTAATTACATAGTCGTGGCAGCTATGCACAATTGAGTACATGTATGGACCTTTACTCTTATCCGGACCATCACAGCGCCAAAAGTGACAGTGATGTGGGCAACACACATGCATTAAGGCTTTGATAGAAGAACACAGGTTAGATACCTAATTGTTTAACATATTCAAGAGCGGAAAGACCCAAGTTATCACCTAGACTCACTTTTGATATCATCTTATTGTCCTTGTCTGAACAGGGCATGTTGTTACTCTGGCCAGGTTGCATGAGTAGAAGTAGCTCTTGAGCAGCATACTGCCTGTCAGTCAGCCTCTTGCTGATGGGCTATGGCAGTCCTGTGTAATAGCTACTCCCAGAGTTGATTATCTGGCTGTTTACTATTGCCAGACCATCTGAGGTGTGTCACTTTTGATAGTGTGGATGAATATCAGCTTAGTCGAGACTTGATACATAATAACAAGACAGAGAGAAAGACAAGTCAGCACAGATAGTAGCCTTTTCTGGCACGGTACATTTTATGGTGTTCTGAATGCTTAGACATATCGATCATGATGATGAATCATGTCACCGGAGTAGGCTCTCTGGTGAAGCGTCGCGCCTGGATGTAACTATTTGAGCGCTGAAGTATTCATGGTCGATGATTTCGCTAGATGTACTTCAGCCAGATTGTTCGGTTCTTTATCCTCCTCTAATTTTTCTTGTGTCTTCTGGGAAATCAAAAAGGCAGACATTTCTACATCAATTTGTTGGGTTAATAACTCTGCGTGGGAGCTCACAGATATCATTCAAAGCATCCCAAGTCCATGACAAAAACCCTCCAGCAGGCTTATGCCTCATGTTGAAATTTTGATATATCTCGTGAAGAGCAGACAAAAAGTGAACAATCTTTATTGCCAGATCCGTGTAAACACCTACATGATTACTTCAGAGAGCAGTAATCAGTGCCAACTTTGCTCGCATTGCACACGAAACATGGTCCCATGCGAACACTTGCAATAATTACATACTTGGTATAGTCAGACGATACAGTTTCAAGGAGGTCGGCCCAGAGATGGCCGGTGCGAGATCGGGTTCATCAATGCAGCCCGTTGGTGATTGCAGATCTTAAGGGCACTTTCTTGATTCAACCCGAGCAACATCTCATCCCGCGCACTAATCCAGTATCCTACAAGGCCGAGATTATTGAAAGGCAATCGGCAGGACTTCTTATCATTGCTTGAAACCAGAGAGAAAGACACTGTGTAGCGTCTCTACACCATGATACGGTGTTGACGTGAAACCCGAGCCTTCCACGGCGTATCACTGACGGATCCTCTTCTCCCTAGTTGGCATGCCGTCACTTACCTTAAACTGATTGATAGCTCTATTCCAACATCGACATACCCCGCGATAACCCTCTCCAGATGACACCGAGTGGCGTTTCGGCTAGGAGAAAAAGACATATTCTAAACCAGGCAGGCCGTCGGGGCCTTCTCATCCAAACCTCACCGATGTTCAGGATAACTACATCACTCAGCCACACAAACATATACACACAAACACACACACACACACACACAACCTTCCCCAAGTCTCAAGTGCCGACCACCGAGCCTCTATCGCAGACCAAAACCCCACCGCTCGGCGACGACGTGAGAGAAAAAGGGCATCGTCTACAACAAGGGATCGACACTAGGTCTCCTCCGGGGGGGGGGGGGGTTTGGTTCAAAGGGTATGATAGGCGACGGACTCAGGGCAGTTTCCAGATCCGGTAAATGAGGCTCAACATCCACAGTGGCCCAACACGGCAGGTGGACATATGAAACCTGGCCTCTCGCGTGTGAATGTCACAATGGACAGCCACCACTACCGACATACATACTTACACATAACAAAATGGAGGAACCCCTTTATCCTTCCCAGCGTTACACCAAAAGAAACCCCCACAATTCTGCTCGATTGACGTGCAAGGTTTGACCATTGACGAGCCCCTTGCTTTTTCTCTTAACCCAGTCCGGAAACAAATAAGACCACGATTAGGAAGGGGGAGAAGAAAAAGGTAAAAAAGGTGGTGGAGCACATTTTTTCTTCCTTCTTCCGGCCTCAGCTCTCGCGCCCCGAGGTCGAGTGAAGTCGGAACCTGAAGAATTGTGCGGATCCGAAATAGAGTAGGAAAGAGTTAGGCGTGAGTTCTTTTGAAGCTGATCGTGGGGAGTTGAGAGGGAGGATGGACGACTGGCGGAGGGGGGGGGGGGAGGGAAGGTCCAAGTTGTCTGATACTTTTTCCCGAGCCCCTTGGAAGTCGAACTCGGACGTTCAGCACGGCTATGGAATTATCGCGGCTGATGGTGTAACCTCGGAGAAGAAGGCCTGCAACTCTCGGGAACAAGTGCCACCGGCGCTCGCCTAGGCTCAGCTCTCTCTCGTGTTCAGAGCCTGACATGGTCCCCCTCTTCCCCCTTTTCCTTAGAGCACGCGGTGAAGAGGCCCATGGTAGCCACGTGGCTTGGAGGCCCCGAAGATACCAGGAGAGCGAAGAGAGGAGAAAAGGAGAGAAAAAGTGCTAAACGATATGCATGCAGCCTTGCGTGCATCCGACCACCACCAGAGCCTGGTAACCGAAAGAGGGCGGGGGAGGGGAGGGAGGGGGAGACACAGGACCGCTCGGATGAAAGATCTTCTCGTCATTCACCCCTTCTCTGTATGTTGCCCTGGCATTGTTGCAAGGCCCTCCATCACCACAGCTGGAATGCCCCTCGTTCTTCACTTCTCATATTCCGTCATGTCGTGCGTCGCCACGGGAAGCGCACGCTACCAAGATCCGAACATCAAACATTGAGATCCCAATCAAGGCTCTCAGCATCCTTCATGCCAAGGCAGGTATATCTTTCGCTATCACTTAATAGCTCGGCCATAGTCTTGTGCGTCGACACCAGCTTTGGCCACGAAGAGACATATGAGTATGTGTGAGTGTGATCGTTCGGCAGGGCACACGTGAAGGGGGCCCGTGGAAGGGTTGTCGACAGCGCAAGTCGCCACCATCATCTGCTCCTGACAGAAAATAAAATTCCAAGGCAGGAAATATGCACAAATGTGTGTGTGTGTGTGTGTGTGTGTGTGTGTGTGTGTGTGTGTGTATGTGTGTGTGTGTGTGTGTGTGTGTGTGTGTGTGTGTGTGTATGCAATGTGTATGCGCGCTTCTCGTGGTGGCACACACACACAAATAGGTCAAAGGCCCTGAAGAGGGATGAGGGGTTGCCCGTCCCTCGTCAAGGCCAGATTGAGCCAAACCCACCAACCCTTTCCTGGGTGATGGTCTTGGCTGCAGAACAGGTAAATCCGCTGCAGAACCTTCCCCCCCCCCCCCCTTCCTTCTTCGTGATGCGTTGCGAGCATTCCAGGCCAAGCGAGACTATCGCCTGTGCCTCCCCCGTCCGCGTGTTTGCCCGCCCTCTTTTTTTCCTGCAAGATGCACAACCGACGGGTGAGACTATTGACGCGCTACGTCTCAGAGTCAGCGTGGGGTTGCGTGAGGACGGATACACACCCAAGGGCCAATCCGGGTGGCGTGCATCGTCAGGAACCGTGGGAGCCAAGGGTATGAGCTGTGGAGTGAGCATGTGCCGGTGTAGTAGTAGCAGTAGTAGTAGTAGTGGTCGTCGAAGGAGGAGGAAGCATGAGGAGGACTGTGCTTTCCGCCCGCCGTCGTCGTGCACCCACCATCATCATCACCACCACCACTTCCTAAATTCTCACTCCCTCTTCACACACACACACACACACACACACACACACATAGATAGAGGGCTTGCCGAGACTCTGAAAAAAGGTCTCGAGCATGCCGCTCTAACAGACCCGACTTATTCATGATCTGAAAAAGAAAGAGGAAAAGAGTCGCGTGGCGCACGGTTGAGCTGCCGATTGGCCGCGAAGGCCGACGACATGGCAGACGTCAAAACCACGCTATCGTTTTTTAGACGGAGTATTGAGGAGGGCTGCAGTGTGCTGCATCTGCTGCTTGCTTGTTTGCTGCTGGAGTCTACTTTGCTGCAGCTTATTGTACTACAACATATTGTCATCCAGCTCGCGGCGGCCCTGGCTCAATCCATACCCCAATGTTGCACATGTGTTTGCCGTTGTCATGTGCGCAAGAAAAACGAAACTGACCAAGTTGTGACCAAATCGGGTTCCCTTCCCGCATAAACCTGCTGCTGTCTAACCCGAGGCTTCCAATACTGGGGTGGGGAACTTCGTAAGCTGCGGCATCGCTTTTGAGGATGCAAGTGTCGGACGCGTAATGCGCAGCCATTTTGAGCTGCGCACTGTCGATATTCTCGCGGCATATACGTAGGACTATTTGGTTGGTCCTCGCAACAAGTTTATTGTCGTGGCTAATGCAGTATGCGACGGTAGGGTTCAATGTTGGGCTAATCTTCCAACTCCCGATGCAGCGAGCCTCTTTATCTTGTCTTTTATGCCTGTTTTATACTTCCGTCACATGAACCAGAATGCATAAATCTTGTTTCTTGTATGCGCCTGTGTGTGGTCGGCAACTCTATAGCGTTAGACCTTCCTGTGATGTGACTGACGGTGGATAGCAAATGCCACTTCGCGCAGTGATGCCCGACGTATATACCTCCATGGTAGTATCCATAAGTGATCCAAACAGCTTGCAGATTTGGGCGGCCGACGTAAAAGTCGGCCCTCGTATCTGAGCATGGAGCCTTTCTACCCAAGGAGGGACGATCCCCTCCCCTTCCGTTCCTCAACACAGTACGTACCAAAAACCAAGTGAACGGTTCTGGAGGATGGCATGCTCTTGAGTCGTCCTTCGTTGTGGTTCGCAAGAGCTATTCTCCTGGGATATGCCCTGCCGCGGACCGAGTAGTGTTGAGCACAGACAAGGACCCTGGCAATTGGGGTGCCGGAATATTTCGCT